ACACAGGCCTTTCCTCCTCACCAACGACATTAAACACTCCAGTAGAACCCATTATAATCTGTGATGCTGTCTGGATGCGGCGCGATGCGACACGGACAAATCCCCGACAGTCAACTGATGCCTCGTTCCATTTATGACGTAACGTTACTGACACAAAGCTCAAATTATTTGCAACCGTTACTTGTCGCGTTTGGTGGGAACACCTGGGAGTGTTTCAGTCGGTCCTCAAAGGGTAAAGAATAAGAAAAAACACAAGATACCTGTACCCTGGCACACTGTGGATTATGCACTGTGGCTGAGAGGACCTTCCTATACTGTTGGATGAAGACAATGTCATTCAGTCACAGACCACTCTTGTTTTCCTAATGTCATGAAAACAATCATGGCTGCCACATTGAAGGTTCATTCCAAACCGAAGTGCCATCGATCCTCATCCTCGAGTCTCACCTCAGTTCGGAAATCCTCCGTAGTCTGTCCCTTCTCACCATTACACCCGCCACAGATCCAGACCCGGAGCCTACTGTTAGGTCAGTCTTGGAGCCTGTGCCTACTGCCCAGTGCCTCCCAGAGCCCGCCGTTCAAGAGTGGCTCATTTACTTGAATGCTGAGGAGCCAATTCCCACACTCACCTGCAGCCTCAAACCTCTTCCTCCCAATCTTTCCTTCACTGCTGGTTCCATCCAGCTTCCAAGATCCATCAAGGTTGATATTTTTCCCAAATTAAAGAAATGCATCACATAATAGATCAAGAAAAACAGGGAGAAAAATCAAGAAACGCCACAATATTGAGTTTTTTTTAGGATGCACCTTGTGCCCTACATTTTCTTTACATATAAATGTAATTTCAAATACTTTATTTCCTTAATGTTCAATAGTAGAGAGTGTTACTCGTGTGGAATATAAAGTGAAGGTGGTCAAGGGTTCAGTATAGTCCAACAACTAAAATCTGGATAACCATGGCACTCTTGTGAGTTAAAAACCCTTTATTAACACAGGGCAAAGTAAAGAGGACTCTCTTATCTGTTTGGCCTTTTTCAGGGAAAGATGCTTTTTAACTAATAAAAGCAGATTATAATCCAACTATTTGTTGTTGGAGTTAACAAATAATGAAAGTATTAAAGCTGCATGCAAGCTATGCCCATAACTTTTATAAGTTTATTTACAGACAAACCAGAATGACACTTGAATGCAAAGATTGCCCAACAGGAGAATAAAGGCCTCAACATAATGAGAGATGGTGTCATGGATGTATGTTTTGTTTTATTTTATGCATTTATTCTTGTTAACTTTCTGATATTATGTGTGTGTATGTGTTCTTTGATGTCAGTTGCGAGTGGGGCGATTTAATTAAAGGACCGGTGGATGGTTCTGATCGCAGCAGGGTTTAAAACCACCTCTTCACTTCTCAAAGAGCCGGTCCCGCTTCCCCCGTCTCCCTGTTTGTAGGTGTGATTGCCCTTTTCTTTGTTGATATTGTTCACTTTTTAGTTTTTTTAGCGTAGTTAGGTTAATTAAAATTATTTTCTTTGATTTCTCAAGGAAAGTTATTATTATTATTTTTTTTTTTTTTGTTATTTTGGGCAGTGGGCTACCCTGTTAAATTATGTTTATTGTCTACGTATCCCATCAGTCTATACTTGCCTTTAATTCAGCTATGTGATAGCATATGCTTTCGTCCATATTAGGGATTTCCTGTCCTATGATTTAGGACTTCTGAGTTTTTCACTTTTGGATTTACTGCATGAGGGCGCCCTCCGGCTACCAGAATGAAACAGACATTGCATTACATGTGTGCACTCACTAATGCTCACAACACCTAATTTTGGGTAAAAAAAATAGGAAAAACAATACTTCGAAGTTTTTCTCCAGTGTAGAGGAGTTTTTTTTTTCTCTTTCAGTGGATGGATAAGATTTCATGATAAATAATGAAGAAATTATTGTCAAAGATTTTTGGCCTATGCAAAATTTATTTTATAATAAATCCTTAAGTATCTTTTATAGGCCTCCTGCATGTTAACAGGTAGCCTAATGTTTCTGTGAAATATTTATTTAGTCATTTATCAGACGATTTTATCCAAAGCTACTTACTACAATTGATTGCTTCTGTTGTCCTCATTTGTATTAAAACAACTAAAAACAGATCCAAAACTAAAAGAGAAATACACATTTTAAAAATAAAGTTAAGTAGTATTTATAAAGAAATTAAATAAAAATGACAAATGCATACAACAAAATTTCAAAACTTAACATTTAAATGAAAAACAAAAAAATAAAGCTAAAAACAATTCACAATATTAAAGAACAAAAGGTATGAGTATAATAATGATTCTAACATAACACTAAGCCAAACACAAAAAAAACAACTACATGTGTGTATGTACAGCCACACACATATACATATTTATAAATTCAATATACTTATTATTTCATTTCCATTTAGTTTGTTGAAGTATTAAAATAACTCTAATTAAATAAAACTAAAAACTTAAAAGACCTATACAGTCATAATAAATTCAGACATAATGCAACTAATATTTAAATAAATACAAATAATTCAAAACAAATAACAGTAGTTTATCAGTAATCCTAAAAAATAACACTGCCAAACTTACATGCTGAAACAGAAGTAAAACTAGTAGGAAAGAGAAATAAAAAGCAATACTTATCCTTTCCTGCCCGGTGGAGTCGCACGGTAGAGTCAATGGTCTGCACACGAGGAGGCCGTCACGTGACCGCTGCCGTGGTAACCTAAGCTTTTTTTTATACCCGTCTAACAAAATACTACATTAATTCAGCTGGGGACACTTTTCTTATTTCCTCCACAACAAATGGCCAAGCAAGCGCAGACACTGACAAGATACGCGAAATATGCTGATAATAATCATTATCAATAATTATTTAGTTTAATGTTTTTATTTAGTAATAACAATCAAAAAAATGTTGTAGTCATACTGATATATTTATTTTTGATATATATATAAATTAACAAAACGCACAACAAACTCTGTGTCCTTTATCATTTTTAGCAAATAAAGATAAGGTTTGACTGAAAACATTTCTTGTCACGGTTCAGATTTTGTGTCCAGATTTTGGAATTCACTGGATACTGCCTCTCAGAATAGCTCACTTTTTTTTTTTTTTTTTAATCCGTTTAAATATTTTTACGTGTATGTTGAATGTGTTACACTTAAGGCACATTTACGCTTAAATGTTTAAATTGTCATTTTATGTGCTTTCTCTTAACTCCTCAAATTGCTATGACAGTTTTTCATTATACTGCCTAGGGCCCCACAACCCTACGGGCCGGCAATGGTTCCAAAACAAATGGTTTTGTTGATTGAGTTAAAAGCTATGCCGTTTTAGATCCCTTGAGGGAAAGCCAGGCCTGGAGAGTGTCCTGTAAATTACCCTTTTCCTGTGTCTTTTGCATGGGGCTGACATGGTCCTAAAACAAAAGGGAGTTCTCTGTCCTCCTGATTGGATTAAGTCTATTACTGTTTTATCCCCTGAGGGACGAACACCAGGCATCCACAGGAACTGGTGAGACAATTGGGCGCCATGTGATAGTCAGCAATCAGTTTTACGACCCGCAAATGCTTAGGAGGGGGAATCGTTAGATTTTTCTGAAATGTGGTGATTCTGCAGGATATTGGGGTTCTGTTCGAAACAGAAGCCTTACTATATATATATATATATATATATATATAATACAGTTGAGGTCAAACGTTTACACCCCCCCTTTCAGAATCTGCAAAAGTTTTTTTTACCAAAATAAGAGGGATCATAAAAATGCATGTTGCAAAAGATGTTTACATATAGTCCACAAGAGAAAATAATAGCTGAATTTATAAAAATGATCCCATTCAAAAGTTTACGTGACTCTTAATATTGTGTTGTTAGCTGAATGATCCACAGCTGTGTTCTTGTTTAGTGATAGCTGTTCATGAGTCCCTTGTTTGTCCTGAACAGTTAAACTGCCTGATGTTCTTCAGAAAAACCCTTCAGTTCCCACAAATTCTTTGGATTTACAGCATTTTTGTGTATTTGAACCCTTTCCAACAATGACCGTCTGATTTTGAGATCCATCTTTTCACTCTGAGGACAACTGAGGGACTCAAATGCAACTTTTACAGAAGCTTCAAACGCTCGCTGATGCTAGGCAAAATAAGAAAAATTTACACATCTCCATTTTGTTCAAAAAGTTTTCACCCCCGGCTCTTAATGTTAACATGGCAAAGAAGGCAATCTTTAAAACAATTTATTTTATACAGATTAGAAAAGGAAAAACACCAAAGTTCACCCCTCCCACTGTTTAGTAATCCCAATTTACAGGAATTTAATTTCTGAAAGTGTTCACAGAAAACTGTCCAACAAACAAATTTGGAGTATCAGTGAGGTTGAGTTGGCCAAAAGTATTACATTTATATATTTTACTTGTTAACCCAGAATCCTATACCCTACACAAAACAGGGATGTTCATAATGAATAATAATTTTGAAAGTTAAGATTTGAAAAGTTCTTAAAAAAAAATAACTATTTTGAGAAAACAAGCTGTCAAAAGACCATGAGGGTTGAGAGAAGAAAAAAAAAATGTATGTGTATGTGTATATATATATATATATATATATATATATATATATTAGGGCTACACCGATATGAAAATTTTGTCCGATTGACTGAATAACTTTTGTAACTTTAATAAGGATTAATCTTTAACATTGCATATTTGACATCAAATGTAAAATAACTGATACAATTTCTGTACCTAAAAACTGTTAGATCTACCTAAAAAAAACTGAAAAGCACTGATTATTTATTTGTGCTGTTGCTTGTAGTTCGATTATTTTTCTTTTTCTTTAAAAAATAAAGAAACTGTGACTCTAAAACTGTGATACAAACAGAACCGCGAGTAAGTTGAACCGTTCCACCCCTAATCTTAAGTATACACTTGCCGAAAACACTTCAGATAGGGTTCACAAAATGTTTTCACAGATATTTTCTCAGATTGCAACACTATTGGGAATTTTATCTGGTGACAGATACACATAGGGTAATTTTAACTCCTCATTTCGGATGTTTATGAACTTGGTCACTTCGCCAAGTTTCTCGCGGAAAGTCTTCAAGGCATCCTTTACATCTACCTCAGTGAAGTAGTCCTCTGGATACATGCCTAAAAACAGCTGGGGAAAAGACAAATAGGCTCCTTTTTTATATCAATATTTTCTTTCTTTTAAAAAGTTCTTTATTCTTTTTAAAAATGATAATACATAGAGTACACAGTAAGAAGAAATTTTATCTTAACCCTATATAAAGGACAAAATATCCACTATCAGACCTTTGACTTTTCCTAGGATAAAAAAAAAATCATAGCATGAGGCTCTGTAACCTCAGCAACTCACAAACAGAAGCTCCCAGATGTTCAACATGCTCAATCACCAGGCCACAGCTTCAACAAGTCGAACTAAAATGATCAGTTTTGACCAGCAAAACCTGACTGGTTAAGCTACATGTCTTAGACTAAGAATTGTAGAGAAAAACAAAGACCAGGACCCGGTTGCATGAAACCCCTTAAGTGGTTTGACTTAAATGTATCCCTGCGGGAGAAAACAAACATATTAACCGTCACCCTTACCTAGAGTCAAACCAATAGTCATTCAGACACCTTCAACATTTCACACATTATCACAGTTTATTTGTTATAGTTTAGAAAATGGTAATAAAATACGACAAGAACTCAGAGTTAAACTGTGTCAGAACAAATTCAGCTTGATCATGTCAGATAACTTTGATAGAAAGGTATGTAAAAAAACATGGTCCGGTCAAAGTGTCAAATAAAATTGGTAACACTTTATAATAACTTTCATTAATAAATCATTATATAATGTTTAACAGATCATTAGTTAATATATATTCACATAGCTAGAAATGTGTGATAATATGCTTGTTAATGTTTACTAATGTACTTATTAAACATTATGTAATGATTAACAGATTATTCAATGTAAATTGAAATGCTTCTAAATGTCATTAAACTTGCAATTCATATATTTCTACTATTTCATGCCTCTCTATACTTCTATTTTCACTATTTTTACTTAAACATTTACTAATCATTAGTACCTTTATGAGCAGTCGTCTCGATGGCAAAATGTGTCCCAAATGACCTGAATTCACCCTATTTTCACATCTTTACAAATCATATGTGAGCTGTGCTGGCAAAATGAGTCAGAATGCACACGGTCTAATTTAGAGCTACAGGCAAAAGAAGTGAAAAATGTCAGTTTTGGTCGAATTTGGGATTTTCACAAAAATGAGTTCATTAAGCCCTCTTCTAGCGATCCCAATGCTCCAAAGAGTAATTAAACATCTAAAAGTATCTTTATTTGTACGTTATCTGAGAGGAGTAAATTTTTCTCTGCTCACTTCTGGACGACTGCTGCTGCTTCTCAGCACAAGTTGTAGGTCTATTGTTGCAAAGCGCAGTATTCCAGCTTTCTGAATATTCATATCGAATTTTCGATGACATGACTTCAAACCAGTGAAATATGATTTTCAAACCCATGCTGATGAAAACAAAACGATCGCGCTGACTGACATTTGCATTGCAAAGTGCGAGCATAAGACGCGCCTCCCCATAATGCACGATCTCCCTATAAAGTACATGGTGAAAAATGTCTTGTCGAGGTTCACACAAACAATCTGTTGTGTCTAACATGAACGTTTAGTTAATGTTTGGAGAAAAATCTGATGTGTAACATTATATTAGATCCATGCGTTACAGTAGGTCCTAATATAAATCGGTCTCAATGTTAATCAAACATTAAAAGAAAAGATGGAATCACTCGCTGCTCTTGATTAAACTGCTGTTTATTTTTAATAACAAAGATAAAATAAAAAATAGCTATATTGTGATTAATAATATAGCAATTATTATTAAGAAAGTAATTGGATGAAAATATGCATCGTTGCTTGGTGATTTTGCTTTGGAATCTTTAACTCGATTTTTCTCGAAATCAGATCTGCTGCCTCTATTGCCTTCAAACGGCTGTAGCTCAGTCATTTTTTGTCCGATTCCAACAAGTCATATATCATTTATGTATCTTAATGGAGCATGTGAAAATAAAAATAACACATTTTTCGAAATTTGCTCATTCCGACTCATTTTGCCAGCACGCGTTACATTTATGAATCATTTGTTCATGTTTTTGCAGTACTCAATCTAAAATTGAGACTATTCATCATTTGTAAATGTTCATAAACACACCAGGGGATGCTCATAATGTCCTGCTGTGACACTCACAGTTTTCAATGAAATTACATTATATTTATCCAACTCTTTGTTGTCGTATTTGTGCATTGATGCCACTTTGCCTGTATTCTGACGCGCATTGGATGTTACATAAAAATGGACCTCTTTTGGTTCCTTAATTTTTTTTAAGCTAAATGGTTATAAAGGAATTTGTTGCAACAAATATCTTAGAGATTTCTTAAGCGCTTTCATGCAACGGGTCCTGGAATCCAAAACACAACATAGACTGGTGGACATCTCTGCTGGTCTTTTTAATATGGTATGTACAAATCACTTCACTGAATGAATGAGCCATCATACCTCATTCTTTTGGAACTGCGTGAGGACCCAGACAATTCCTAAAATCCAACAGGAACGCCAACGGTCAGGCAGACTCTCCATGATGTACTTCATATCAACATCTCCTTTCGTCTTGGGAGGGGGCTTCCGCATAGTGGAAGGACTGTTGGGGATCCAGGCATACCAGTGAAACTGCAATGCAGGAATTTATACACAGATATTAGCAAACACATATTATGCATATGTAAAGTTCTGCTAAATGAAAGTAATTAAACAAATTTAGGGTAAATGGAAAACATTATAGATCTGAGAAATAGGATAGGTAGTATAATGCACAGCAAAAATCCCCAGTGTTAAATTAACCACACTGTGTTTATATGGGAACATACTAGGGCTGTGTGATATTGAAGAAAAATGCAATACTTTATTAAATAATTCGATATTCAATCTGCTTTAAATATATATGCTTTAAGTTAAATATATCGCTTTATGTGTGTAAAATCAATTTAAACTATATTGAAAAGTTTGTAGGCAAACTTTAAGTTGGCTTGAAAAAGCCTAGCCAAAAAGTTTGAAAAAGTTTTAAACGCTTGCAGTCTGAAAGTTTTCAGTTCTAAGTAGTTTGAAATTTAAAATAGTTTTAAAGATTAAAGTTGGAATGTTTTCAAGGCAATACAGTCTATCAGAAAAACAGATAGATATAAAACATATTGCTAGGGTACCTGGGGTGGTTGCTAGGCTGTTTCTAGCATGACTAGCATGTTGCTAACATGTTTTTAGCATTTTACTATCATGTTGCTAGCATGATTAGCATGTTACTAGCATGTTGCGAGAATGATTAGCAAGTTACTAGCATCTTTCTAACATGGTTAGCATATGTTGTTAGAATGACTAACAAGTTACTAGCATGTTTCTAGCATGATTAGCATGTTACTAGCATGTTGTTAGCAGTATTAACAAGTTACTAACATGTTGCTAGCATGATTCTAGCATGATTAACATGTTACTAGCATGGTGTCAACGTTTTGTTAGCATGATTAACAATTTACTAGCATGTTTTTCCAACACGATTAGTATGTAACTAGCATGGCGTTAACATTTTGTTAGCATGATTAGCATGTTTCTAGCGTGTTTAACAAGTTGCTAGCATGTTTCTAGCATGGTGTTATAATTTTGTTTACATGATTAGCCTGTTGTTATCAAGCTACTAGCATGTTGTGAACATAAGCAAGTTACTAGCATGTTTCTAGCATGGTGTTAGCATGATTAGCAAGTTATTAGCATGTTTAGAATGTTACTGTGGCGCAGCTGACACAGAACAACATACGCTGTTTGCGTTCAGTGGATACTCTCCAAAATGGCGCTAGGGTGACGCGGAGGAGACGAATTGTTGAATAAAGTAGTTTTTTTTTGTTTTTGCGCACAAAAAGTATTCTTGTAGCTTCGTAACATTACGGTTGAACCCCTAATGTCACGTGGATTATTTTACCGATCTCCTTGCTACGTTTCTGGACGTTGATTGTGTAAGGATCCTTGCTGTCTATGGGAGGGTCACAAAGCTGTCAGAATGCATCAAAAATATCTTAATTTGTGTTCAGAAGATGAACGAAGGTCTTACGGGTTTGGAACGACAAGAGGGTGAGTAATTAATGACAGAATTAAAATTTTTGGGTGAACTATCCCTTTAAATAAAATGCGTGCATCCGTAATAAAACGTGCCTCACACGGCTCCGTGGGGTGAATAAAGGCCTCCTTGTAGCGAATCCATGCATTTTTGTAAGAAAAATATCCATATTTCAAATGTAATAAACGCTTTTCTATCACTTCTGCTGACTGTTGTATGCGGAAGCCATTCCGGCGGATGACGTAGGATGTCGGCGTTGCGTGATTAGTGACAAACGCGGGGAGAGAACAAAACAAAACAACGGTCACTAATTAGAAGTACAAACTGAGGATTTGGATATAAGTCAAGAGGAGACTGGTCCTTTGCTAAAGTAAGGAAACTTTGCTTCCTTTACTGCTGTAAACAAACTTGTGAGACTAGCCTATCTCAGAAGCGCGTATGAACGCCTTCCGCTTACGACAGATACTGGAAGTGAGAGAAAAGTGTTTATTACGTTTGAAATATGGATATTTTTCTTACAAAAATGCATGGATTCGCTACAAGGAGGCCTTTATTCACCCCCCGGAGCCGTGTGAAGCACGTTTTATTATGGATGCACGCACTTTATTTCACGTCTTCTGAACTGTTGACAACAAACTTCCGCTTACCCCCATTGAAAGGCTTGGAGGGGCCAGGACCATTTTTAATATAACTCATATTGGATTCGTCTGAGAGAAGAAAGTCATATACACCTAGGATGCTTTGAGGGTGAGTAAAACACAGGCTAATTTTCATTTTTGGGTGAACTAACCCTTTAAGGTTTCTTTAAAACTGTATTTATATATTATGTACACAGCTAAAATCCACACAGACACACAGAAACTGCCATCATTTTAAAACAAAAATGAATTATATTCCTTCTAATGATTTTAAAGGGGTCAAGTTTTCCTTTTTCTTTGGAGTCAAGCTGTTCGTGAATAGATAAGATCCCTAAAGTTGCAAAGACTAAAGTCTCAAACCCAAAGATATATTCTTTATAAAAGTTAAGACTCGTCCACGTCCTCCCAAAACGCCTCGTTTAAACACGCCCCACATGTGTAGAGTAACGCTTGTTGTTTGTCATTTCTCCGATCACAAATGCAGACATGGTTTTATGTTTACATGGCGCGATGCAACGCAACACGTACAAAGACAGTATGAGTTATTATGATCAGTAATTGTCTCCACTGGATGCAACAAATGCCTGGTTTATAATGGGTTTTAATGGTTTTGTCTCGTCGCTCCGGCCGGACAGGGCATCATCACAGTATGGTGAGGAGCGTAACATTTCCGTCTCACGCTTGAGGTATTCGGCCAATCACAACACACTGGATAGCTGGCCAATCACAGCACACCTCGCTTTTCAGACCGATGAGCTTTGTAACAATCCACGCATTTCAGAAAGGCGGGGCATAGAGGAGAAACAATAAGGTCAAGTTTATTTATATAGCACCTTAAAAGCAACAAGTGCTGACCAAGGTGCTGCACAACCAAAACATCAGAAAAATCAACTAACAAAAGCATTAAGACAATACAAAATTTGAAATCATTAAATACAATAAGTAATGCAAAACATCACCAAACAAAGAAACAAACAGAAACAAAACAAACAAAAAAAGTATTTTCAAGTTAAGCAAAAGCCTGAGAAAAAAAAAAATGTTTTAAGAGATGATTTAAAAGAAGATAACGTAGGGGGTGATCTGATGGATAAAGGCACAGAGTTCCAGAGTGTAGGACCAAGAACTGAAAAAGCTCTGTTCCCTTTAGATTTTAAACGAGATTTTGGGACAATCAATAACTTCTGAGAAGACGATCTAAGCGTTCTCACAGGAGAATAGAAATGGAGAAGATCTGAAATGTAAATTGGGGCAAGACCATGAAGTGCTTTAAAAACTAAAACTAAACCCTTAAAATCAACTCTGAATTTATCAGGAAACCAGTGAAGTGAAGCTAACACAGGGGTAGTAATATGCTCCCTCTTTTTTTGTCCCTGTCAAAAAGAGAGCAGCAGCATTCTGTACCAATTGTAAACGTGATAGTGAAGACTGGTTAATACCAGCATAAAGAGCGTTACAGTAATCCAGCCTTGTTGAACTGAATGCATGAATAACAACCTCTAAATCATTAAAACTGAGAAAACTTTTCAGCTTGCGAAGCCCCTTAATCTGTTTGTCAAATTTCAATTCAGGATAAAAAATAACTCCCAAATTTTTAACCTTTTCATGGATGTTTTCTTCAAAAGGGCCCAGAGTAGGTCTTAAATTATGTAAATGGTGAGAAGGGCCAAACAATATAACTTCAGTCTTTTTTTGATTCAACTGTAGGAAATTATTTTCCATCCAATTCTTGATGTCTTCTAAACAAGCCAGCAAGGAAGACACTGAATCAGAACCTGATTTTAGAGGAAAATAAAGCTGAGTGTCATCTGCGTAAATGTGGTATGAAACTTTGAGACTCAAATATAAAACGAAGAGGGAGCAAATACAGGGAGAATAAAATTGGACCCAAAATAGAGCCCTGGGGTACTCCATAAGTGATGGGAACTGAGCTTGATGAAAATACACCAATTTCCACCAAAAAGCTCCTATTTGTGAGATACGATGCAAACCAGTCTAATGCAGTACCACAAATGCTAACCTCAAGATTTAATCTTTTTAACAGGATGCTGTGATCTACTGTATCGAAAGCGGCGCTCAGGTCCAGTAATAAGAGAATAGTACAGTTACCAGAGTCTGCAGATTAGAAGAGATAATTTACTGATTTACTGAAAGAGCTGACTCAGTACTATGTTTTGCTCTATAGCCAGACTGAAAAGGATCCAGAATATCATTAGAATTTAGGTCGAGGGAAATCTGGTTAAATATAACCTTTTCCAAAACTTTGTGCAGAAATGGCCGTTTTGAAATAGGCCTATAATTATTTAATTCAGTGGGATCAAGATTTGTTTTTTTGAGTAAAGGCTGGACCACAGCATGTTTAAGACAGGAAGGGACAGTGCCTGTCTGTACAGAACCATTAATAATAGAGAGTAAGCTAGACAAAACAGAGGGCAGAACATCCTTCAGCAGCTTTTTAGGAACAACATCACAAGAACAAATAGTTAATTTCATATTTAAAATAATGTCTGACAACTCAGAAAGTGAGATAGCTTGAAAGTTTGAAAACACAGAGGAGCTAGTGTTTTCATATTTAAAATTTTGGGATAAATTACAAGAAATCTGCACCCTGATAGAAGCAATCTTGTTAATGAAGAAGTTACAGAACTTCTCACATAACTCTAAGCTAGGATCTGGGCCAGTTGGTCTAGATGGGTTTAACACAGAATTTAGAGTAGAAAACTAAATCTTTGGACAATGAGAATTTTTCTGCTCTGCAAAAGTTGATAAGAAATTTGTAATTTATCCTTTTTCCATCTTCTTTCTGCCCTTCTGCAATCCTTCCTTAAAGCTTTAATGTTGTTATTAAACCATGGCTGATTTTTTTGGTTTAGTCTTTTTGGATTTGAGAGGAGCAACTACATTTAAGATTGCTGAACAAGAGGAATTAAAACTATTTGTCAACTCATCAACACTTCTATCCAGGGCACTACTGTGAGCTAGCAGGGCTATAAAAGCTTCGGTGAACTGCAGGGCCGTGAAGGGGTTAATAGATCGAGAAAGATAAGTAGAAGACTGGTTTACAAGGCTAGAACAAGTAATCACACTGTCAAACAAAACCGGGCAGTGGTCAGACAGTCCGGCCTCACTAACGGTTACATTACTGACAGAGAAACCTGATGATAAAACCAGATCAAGAGTATGACCCAGCTTGTGTGTGGGACCTGAGACGTATTGTGTGAGAGTCCAAAAGTTGAACAAAATCTCTTAAAAGAGGTCTCGAAGGACAACACAGATGTATATTAAAATCACCAACAATCAAGAGATTATCGGCACTTGGAACCACGTCTGATAAAAAATCTGAAAACTCCTTTAAAAAGTCATTGTGTTATGATATACAGACCTCCAAAAGCTAACAGAGTAGAGGACTGGAACGCTCCACCTTGCACATTAAAACCTCAAAACTAGAGTAGACATCAACGGGCAGAAATTTACATTTGAACAGGTCCTTAAAAATGACTTAGATCAATAGAGGGCTTAGATCATCAGCCGTAAGCCAGGTTTCGGTAATAAATAAGAAGTCTAAATTATTTGATAAAAAGAAGTCATTCCGTAAAAATGTTTTGTTCAATACTGATCTTGCATTTAGCAAGGCCATTTTCAGAAATAAACAGCAGACAGAGTACAAGTTCATAGTCAGATGTCCCATGGAGATTGAACTCCCTTGGATCTGCCCGGTGAGTGTCTGTGGCATAATAATTATCCAGAACTTGCAGTCCGAGGAAAATTCTGTGGCAAGGACTCCAATGAAGCAATCACAACACCGCGTGGCCGACACCCAGAGAACGACATAAACGGCAAAATGTTACCCCAGAAGATGGCTTACACCAGGCCCGGTGTAGGCACCACTCCGACTGCAGCAGCGGAGCAAGATTCCCAGGTTAGCTTTAGCCTCAGATTGTAGACTGCTTGAATTTATTGCAGCCAGAAGAGAAATTCTCGGTTTTCACCAATTTGAAGTAACCGTAAAATAGCATAAGAGAACTAAAATAATAACATGATCAAATAAATAAATAAAACAATAGGACCGGAGAGCAGCGGCAGACAATTCGCACGGCGTTCACTCAAACTGGATGTCTTGTGCCGGATGTCAATAATGTACAGTATGTGGAAAATAATGTTTTTTGAACCATAAACCGCATAAACACATTTCATTACACCAAATAATGTTCTTTTTAGCAACATCATATGACCCCCTTAATACAATATACGACATTATTAATAGTATTCAATATGAATTTACCACATTTCTGCCAAAACACCATGGTTAATCTAGTTAGCATTACTACTGTACATCCATGGTAAATGTTTTAAGGGTGGTGATTTGGAGATTTGTTCATTCATGGCACACTATTTATTGTGTTTTCTTCGTCAATCTTGTTTGGAATGTCAAGGCCGTTTCATCTGATTGTAAAATAGTTTAATTATAGAGTGATTTGTGGCTTGTTGTATTTAAATGATTCTCGCTGGATGTCGTAGCACTGTTTATTAATGTGTCTAGGAGTAAATGCACCTGAGTTTGCATTGCATAAAGCCCAAAGTATACTTTGGTTTTTACACATGCACACGGATCTCGTTCACAGCAGCTATATGTTGTTCTGGTCGTTCTGAAATGCCTGAGCAAAGTATTTCTGTATAATTACTGTCTCACACGACTGCATTCCCAAACAGCAGCATCCGCCTCTAAAAGCAATGACTGCATTTATCGTGTTTCGTCTGCTCCTCTGAGGCGCAAGTCATTTATTACATATGAGAATTATTATATTCAGTGGCTTCTCCTAGTTTTCTTAGAGATATATAGTGCCAGTTTATCAGGAAGTGACAGTTTTGTTCTCTTTGACTCGTTGGATGGAAACAGCGCTTTATTCGCAAATGGTCATTTTTGAGCGAGATGCTAACGGTCTAATCCGATTCAATGATCTATGCTAAGCTACAGCTAAAAGTGCTACCGCCAGACACGGAGATCGGCTGAATGGATTCCAAAACGGTAAAACTCAACTGTTTAACTCTAGGGGAGATGGAAAATGAGCCTATTTTCAAAAATAGTGGAGTGTTCCTTAAAATTATGACATACTAATTTGAAATTATGAGATTTAACAGTAAAAATTAAAAATGTATAATTAATTTAAAGATGATGGAGGTATCCCCCCACTTATACTTCATTGTAGTGTTAACTTTGCACTGCTAGTTTTACAGTGTGTACACATACTTGCCTAACCATTTTTACATTAATTTTGTTCATTTCAAAGTGTTTGCAATCCCACCTGTCCAAAGTTGACTGCAGCATGTTGTGCTGAAGCTGTGAATATTATGACAGTCAGGTACTGGACTAACTGCTCTCGAGATTCCAGGGATTTTGGAAAGTCTGTGGCCAATAACAATGTGTTTATTCTCATGTGCACTCATTTCAAGTCTCATATACACATAGAATACACACATAAAAAATGCTGAGATTTTTATGACCCTGAACTCACCATGATCACAATTCTTCATTCCATTGCAAGACACATCCAAAACAAATGCCTGAATCTCTGTATCCTCCTTAACATTCTCATCATTTTTGTAGTAGATCTCAACCACATTAGACACAAACCTGTAAAAAGAAAAAAAGAAAAACAAAATACCTCTTGTGCCAAATCTTCATTATGCATTGTAAAATCAACTGTTATCCATATTTTACAATGTACCTTTTCACTGCATCCCAGACCTTCAAACCGTCATCCCTGTAGTAGTAGTTGGGCACATCCTCCTGGTTGTCCATTCCTCTAGCTTTTATTTCATCAGGGAACCACAGGGACTCGTAAGTCAATCTCCCCATGGCTTTTTGCACGAGTTGCTTAATTCCGGTTACATCTATACCACAAGCCTTTGGTATGTAAAAACTTTAATGAATCTTTTGATCTCATTGTGTATATTTTCAGATATGAAATGGTAACTAAGCATATACAGTATTTGGCCTGGTCAGGTAGGGGATTATGGGAGGTTAAGTTGTTATCTCATTGCCATTGTTGTTTGAAAATTTCATGGAACAATGCAAGTCAGTCAATGGGTGCTTCTCATTTCTTATGTGTGCATCCTTATTTCCTTTCCTTGCTTCTTAGCTCCACCCCCCTTGGGATATGAGGTAAGGATGCAAGGAAAGAAAATGAGGACGGAGGAATCAAAGGAACGGTTATCTGTACATTAGAATATTCTTGATCAATATGAATCTTATCTTAATGAATATTCGTCACTTCAAAGCCTCATCCGCTGCCATTATGTTGTTATTTAAGACATTCATAATAAATATTAAGAAGGCAAGATATCCTGCATATGAGAGTATGGTTTATTTAAACTGCAAAGGTAAAATATAAATAAAAATTATTACAACAGATTTGAAGGGGGAGGAGAATTTATACGTGCATCAGATTTTTCGACGAGAAAGACTTCCGCATAGGATACACCTGTGTATCCTCGCTCATAGCTCCTCTGGAAGCCCCATCACTCCTCGTTCCTCGCCTCCTTGTAGTGCAATTAGAGAACTGAGATGTCCTTTAAGATGGCTGAGTTCGATCGATTTCCAGGTCACAGGCTCGAGGACGGAGGAGCGAGGAAGTGAGGAAGCATCAATTTGAGTATTGAGAAGCACCCTATGTACTGAGTCTATTAAAGCACAACATAAACAAAAGCTTTAGAAGAAGCAAACTAAATATTATAAAGCCAAAAATTATAACCCAATAAAACTTTGCGGTGCAATAACATGGTGTGCGTCCTCAAACTTCAAGGTTATGTGCCATGACCAGAGACATTAGGTATATAATTTATGCCTCGGCAGACAAAGAAAAATGTTAAATGCAAATGACCAGTAGTTGTTGAGTGACTGGATTAAATCAAGAGTATCTGTACCTCATCGAAGATCCCTCCTGTGCAAATGAGCTCCTCACGGGCTAAGGTGTTGATGGCAATGGTGTAGCGAACATGAGGTATCAGTAACTGCAGGGCAAAAATGCATTTAAAATTATGATTGGCTATCAAGAGACTGCCAAATTCAAAGGATAACCTGAAACAGGAAATTTGTCTTAAAAATCTGCTGCATCATAATTAGCCACACTAGTGCTTAATCTTCAAATGCCACAAGTGTTTATGTAATTTCTTTCCCGTAATGTATTGTTCTTTGAAGTTTACAGTAATACAGAAATACATTGTCAGTACAAATATTGTTATTTGTAGAATACATTTTATATTATGTTTACTGATATCTCTGCAGAATGTCATTAGTGTAATGTGATACTGAACATTATTTCTAATTATCTCTATTTGCTTTTCCTGTAGACTACACGCAAATACTGTATAGATCCAAGACTTTTCAATAAAACAAACAGTTTAAAGAATCTCTTTTCCAACTTCTGATTCACGGACCAGAATCTGGTGCATATTTGGCTGCCTCATCCAGCTAAAACTAGATGTTTTACCACACTGACATTGAGTCTGATAATTATGGTAAATGTCATGGTTGAGCATTGAAAGATGGGTACCTTGTATACAGGATGAACTGAAGAGAGCTTTCTGTACATGGCAATGGCAAAAACCTCAGTGATCAGATGTGTTCTGAGAAAGTGTGTGACAATCTGGTGCACATTGAAGTCGGAGGACTTTACCCACATCTTGGCAAGCATCCAATCATACTGATCATCATTTGGGAGAAAGATTGGGCTATCCTTCCCTGGGGTTTGACTGAGCTATGTCAGATAGTAAAGCAGAGTCAAAAAAAGATTTAGTTAAAAAAACAACATATACAAGTGTTAAATTAACACTGCTCAGCATATATATGGGAACATACTGCTTCAGTGTTACTTTCAACACTCTGTAGTGTTGTAATTAATAAGATAATTAAGTGGTTATTTTGTTATGATTGACCATTAGTAATGACACCTGGTGTTAGCAAAAGTCTACTGAAGCTACCATTACCATTACTACAATTAAAATACACCAATAGAGGTAATTAAATATCAAGAGAACATGGAGGGGGGGGGGGTGTTTTACTGAAAATTTTGCTTTATGAACTCAGACCTGTAATATATTAGTTTTCTTTCAGCTGCTGCTGCAGTATTTCAATATACACATCTGCTTGTACGGCAAAGTAATGAGTTCAGTTGAAATTGAAGTCAATTTCAGAACTTGTGGTGTCTGATTGCTCATGGTTATTCTTGTTTCTCCCTCTTTCCTTAGGCTGGCCGCACACTAGACGGCTTTAAGGCTGATTTTAAGGCCGATTAGCACTCCTGAACAATTGGGGGTGTGGCCCGATTCAAGACTTGTCGCAAACAATTTTTTTTGTCCCAAAAATCCTCTGTTGTGTGGTGTCATTACAATTATTTAACTGCTCCCGATCGAGATGGAGCGCCCCCAAATTCTGTGTGTGTGTGTGTTTGTTCACTACTCACTGCTGTATGTGTGCACTTGGATGGGTTAAATGCAGAGCACAAATTCAGAGTATTGCTATAAAATATAGCATTCTGTGTAGAATTCAAATAGCTCCGATACATTTAGTGGTCTGCGCCGACTCGCGCATGTGATCCGCTCCATGCTATCGTGTCTCTGGACCGGAGCAGAGTGTGTGTGCGGTGCGGTGGTTAGCGTGACACAGCACCAAACCAGACTTCTTTTTTTCTTCAATGGAAAGCATATTTACACTGTTTGAATCGTTCCCTGTTCCCTATATAGTGCACTACGTGCCATTCACTGTACAGAAAATACTAATTCTGTGAACAAGTGACCGTTTTCAGTCGCATCTATTTTATAGTGCAGGGGGCGGTGCTTCGGATTCTAGAGAGCATTTGATTGGTCAGAAGATTTGATGAGAAGCTGAAGTATGATGTGACGTCAAAAAAAATTGTTGAGCCGTTTTGGCGGAAGTGACAAGCTGCAAGCTTTGAATGCTTATATCTTCTAAATGCAAATTTTGTCACTGTTTTGGAGCGCACTGCCTTATAGATAACCTTAAGACTAACATATTGATACTAACACCCAAAAAAAATTTAATTTTGATTTCATGGGGACTTTAACTTAACACATTTTTTATATAACTCTAAATTTAAATTCTATATAAAAAAGATACCTGAATGGCAATTGGCACAATATGGTTAAAAGTGTTCTTGTACAGCAGGCAGATGGGTGCAGCCAAATACTGTGGGGTCTTTGGGTCTGTGGCATTGGCTGGCACATCCTTCAGTATTTCATAGTCTGCTATGTAAATATTTCCTGCCTGTAAAAACAGAGGTGTTTTATTTAGATTTGTAACCATCCAGTGATGTCAGGGTCATTTTATAATTGCAGGTACATCTCATGTTTGTGGAATCTATTTTTTTATATATATTTTCATTAATATACAGCCCCAACACTTTTTTTCCCCAAGTACAAATTTATCTTTTACCCAAATCATACTACTACATGTGGAAAAAGCCATACCTTTTGTTAAAAAATAAGGTTCACATCACATACAAGCCTGGTATTCAGCTGTCCGATTTTGTAAAGTTGCTCATTCTACTCTGTATTTAAGCATGAAAATTTATTTAATAGATTTGCCTTCAATTAGATTAAATAATCAATACATTTGGGCTTGTTCTTCAAAAATAATAAATGTTTATTGTGATAAACCTTATTTTATGTGTGTCCAAGAAACGCTGTGTTATGTTACTAACATAACCTTGGTTTCCCGAGATAACGGGAATGAGCATTGTGTAAAACACTTTGGGGGAAACGGCTGTTTACTCTGAATGCTGAAGCCTGATTTGTTCACGTTCGTGTAGGTGCATGAAAAAATGGCATTTCAGCTCACCAAAATGGGCAGAGACGACCTATACAAGTCAGAACTGATCAGACTGCATCAGATCTTTCAACTGATAGCAACAGTCATCGATTCGTGTGCAGCATTATAGCATGGTCTACGCAACACTCGTTCCTGTTATCTCATGGGGAACCAAGGTTACCTTAGAAACCAGAGCATTCCCACCCTTCTCTTATGTTTTGCATAAAATGCTATGGGGAACATATCCAATAGTGCCGTGCTATAAATAAGCGCAGCACGAAACAGAGCATCCGCAATGAGGGCTCCTAAGAAGCATGAGCTAATAATAAGACCCAGGTCCAAAGGTGTACGGGATCAGGGAGATTAGGGCAGGGGCGTCCAGGTTATAAAATCTAGTGAAGGTAGATGGCGAAGACCAGCTGGTAGCCCGCAGATATCCCCAATTGAAACTCCGCTGGACCAAGCCAAGGAGAAGGCTGTTCCTCACTCCACACACTACACTGAAGCATAAGCCAAGGCTATAGCATCTACTATCCAGTGGGATAGTCTCTGCTTTGTAACTGGCAACCCTTTAGAGTGGCCTCTGAAGCATACAAAGAGCTGCTCTGATTCCCAAAAGTGGCTAGAGCGCTCTACTTAAACTCTAAGGGCCCAAACCGGGCAGAGTAAATTAGGACCCTGCTCATCCTCTGGGTTAGTAAGAACTAGAAGGATGATAACTTGTGCTCTGAACAAAGTGGAGAGGACGACTTAACAGTTGTTAGGCCCAAACTCGACGCAGGCAGCACTTGCAGATCGCCCACTCACTTGACCAACTCTAGATCCAGAAGGAGGGTGGTCTTAAGCCACAGGGGCCATAAGTCAGCTGACTTGTGCCACTCCAAGGGAGGGCCCTGTAGGGCCCTAAGGATTGTGGATATGTTCCAGGTCGGCACAGTATGAGGACGAGGTGGATTCAGTCTCCGAGTTCCCCTCAGGAAATTTACGACAAGGTGTTTTTGCCAACTGACTAGCCAGCTCTTGCAGCATCTCTTGCAGAAAGGTTAGAATGAACAACACATCACATGAGGATGGGTTCTCATTTTGGACTGCACACCAGTCAGAGAACACAGACCACTTAGGGGTGTAGAGGCATCTCGCAGACAGGGCTCTAGCTTCCAAAATGTTAGTTACTCTCATAAAGACTGTAAAGGCTCCTGTAGAGGGGCCTAACATGAAGGCTCCACAGCTCAGACCGGGGATGCCAGATGGTGCCTCTCACTTGGGAGAGGAGGTCCTTCCTTCAATGGGATCAGCCAAGGGGCTGCTGACAGCAGAAGAATCAACTTAGGGAACTATGTGACCTGAGACCGCCTTGTGATTTACTTGTGGAAGTATACCACTGTCATGTTGTCCGAACGGATAAGGGCATGGTGCTCCTTTATGCCTGGCAGGAAGTTTTTTAGGGTCAGAAAAACCGCCTTCATCTTGAGGCAGTTGATGTGCAGGCATTGCTCCAGGTTGGAACAGAGTTGGAGGCATCTGTCGTGACTACCTTGCGTTGGTATTGGAGGGGCCGCATATGACACTGGCCCAGAGGAATCACAGAGAAGGCAGCCGGCATGAGGCTGAGCATCCTCTGGAAAAACTTGGAGGCGAGAAGTCCACAATGAGAACAGAGCCATGCCCACGTACTTCTTAAAAGTGCGTGGGGCCAAAGACAGTCCGAACATAGCGGCTGTAAAAGCCTGACTTGCTGTTTGCTGGTGGAACCATTTTCACAGAGCCTTTTGCAAGCAAACTCTGACCTTCGGACTGCAGAACGCGTGCATTATTGTCCTGTACCAAAGTTTGAATCACACCCTAGAAGTGAGGAGGTCTGCAAGCAAATTAAGAGCGAGTACCCTCATACTACTGTTTGCACGACCCGATTCGATATGCCTAGTATGGCTCCCCAAGCCTGACCTTGGCAGTGAGGGACGTGACACTTCAGCTGCAGTGAAGAGAAAAATGACTATCCACTATAACAGCAATGGGTTTTCTGGGTGTGAGCACATCTAATCTGGCAAACCCAGCATTGGCAATAACAACGCTCCAACACCAGATCTGGACAGAGGTGGGGAGACAAGATTTCTTGGAATGAGGTCTTGCTGCAGCAGGACACACCCTGCCCTTTATTACTCCTTAAGCATCAGCGGTGCTTCGGCTGTGACTCAGGGTTCAAAGTTATCTTAGATGGGGACCCTGGTGCTTGTGAAAGGGGGTAGCGTTTAGCTCTACAAAAGCATATTCTTATCTCAGACTCTGCTTTAGCTTGAGGCTGAGCAGTCATTAATGTTTGCTTGACAGGCTGCTGACTAAATGAAGCAGCATCCGAACTAGACCAGCATAACAGGAAGTGGTGCATGGCCTGTGATGACTTCCGGGACACTGTAAGCACTCGGCGAAGCCATCCACCGCAGAGCCAAATCAGACCTGTGGAGAATACTGGGGAGACAAGGAAAGATGTCTTGTCAGTGTCCTTGATCTTCATTAACTTTAACCAGAGGTGGCACTCAAGTGCCATCAGGTCGGCCATTGCTCAACCGACTGCTTGGGTCACTGACTAACTTGCACACAGAGCAGACAGGTAGCGCGGCATAGCTTCTTAAAAGCAGAATGATCTCGGCAGACTTATCCACGGTGTGAAGGCGTTTGGCCAGAGAAACTGGAGTAGGGTGACCATACGTGCCATTTTCCCAGGACGTGTCCTGGCCAGGATTTCTATATTGCCTAAAATATCTAGGTTTTGGCTTTGTTTGCGTGTGCAGACCGATTGGTGTATGACATCAAAATACCTCGAGAACATTTTGAAAGCATAAGGAACCGTCTGTATGGTATTTTGATGGCATACATCGGTCTGCACACACAAACAAAGCCAAAACCTAGATATTTTAGGCAATATAGAAATCCTGGCCAGGACACGTCCTGGGAAAATGGCACGTATGGTCACCCTACTCTAGCGAAGCTCACGGGCACTCCAGCTAGAGATCATGACAGACACGATAAATGATCTCATGCTCAGATTGTATTTCAGATTGCAGACCAGTTACAGTGATCAAACTACTGAAAAATATCAGCTGCAGAGCAACTTCAACTCTTTAAGTCTGAAGAAACTTTAGTTGGAGACCAGATTCAATGACTATAATTGTTGAGAAATGCCAGTAACATATTTGTTTTGAGTTTCTTGGCCTTAAATTAGGATCTGCTGATCTTCTGTCATTCAAATTCAACTCCAAGTTGTTCATTTATACCATCTTAGTTAAATGTCAGAACAGTGACACCTTCTGAGAAAATGAATATACCCTGTTGGTGCAGACCGATTGGTGTATGACATCAAAATACCTCGAGATATTTTAGGCAATATAGAAATCCTGGCCAGGATGCGTCCTGGGAAAATGGCACGTATGGTCACCCTAAACTGGAGGGCCTCCATCACATGGAGAGTGGAACCAGCTTGACTAGCTACAGAGTAGGCTCTGGCCACTATGGCCAACGTAGCTCTGCAGGGCTTAGAAGGGTGCAATGCCCAACACCGTCATGGAAATAAGGGCAGCCAAGGCGGAAAGTGGACGCAGGCGGAGAAGGGGCACACCACAACCTAGAAAGTTCACCGTGAACTTCCAGAAAGAATGAGGCAGGTCTCTAACGGGGGGCTCACGGGCAGTGCCCTGGCTGCAGAGACTATTCGTCAAGCGGCCTTATGAGCAGGCTCATCCGAAGCCAACCACTCCATGCCAAGGTCCTCATCGTCTTTGGTGAAGATGCGTATGAGCTCAGTTTTCAGGCTGGGTCTGGCATCACCTGGCTTGCTATGCAGCAGGGGTCGGGTCTTAATGGCGTATGCACAACCCTCCACGCTAGAAGTAGCCAATGACACAGTGTCACTGGCAAAATCCTCCTCGGAAACCCAAAAAAGGGCACACTGCTCGCACCTGGCCAAGATGCCAAAATTATGTGCAAAATGCCAAGATTTTCTGCCAGTAGCATTATTACTCCACCACAATTACATTACTTTATTGTTACTCCACCACAAAATCCTAAGCCTGGTGTAGAGCCTGCTCCACAAGCACAGTCATCGAAGTTAGAAGATTGAGAAGTATCGAATAATTTACAACAGTGAGTAACTAAAGAACATGAAGATAATGTTCTGGGTAGTATATGAGATTAAAGTAGACACTAGCATTGTAGTGTACATTGTAAATTGTATTTTCTGTTTCTTACAAAACATTAATTTAGTCTCATTATCAGTAAATTGTTGTAATTTATCCACAGAGAATATTGAGATGTTACACCTTTCATTGCAGGTAGCGACTATCAGGGAGAAAAAAGACAAAGAAGAGATAATCAAGATTGTATAGAGAGAATTAGAAACTCAAAAAAAATGACTTCATGCTCAACAAGCTCCAGAAATATATTTAAGAAAGTATGTATGTATGTACCATACGTGGTACACTATTTTGTTTATAATTATTTATTCTTGCTTATTTTAAATGCAATTAATAAAACAATCACTATAGTTGTGCAAGGATTATTTTCCTATTGTCTTTTTATTAATTTCTTATAAACTGTTAATTTATACCACTTACTTATATAATGTAAACAAGTCTCTGAAAATGTAAGTGATGAATAGCTTTCATTCAAGTACTAGTAAAATCAATGACTGCTTTGTAATTAACCCACAAATGTTAGTAAAACATCAGTTAATGTTGGACTAGTTTACACTTTACAATAAGGTTCACAAATTGCAGCTAATGCATTTTTTGAATGGGTTCTTGGTTTAATGCCTGAAATAAGGTCTTCAATTAACATTTTACTACGACATGAAAATGCATAAGTAATACTTCACTTGTAATATTTTTTAAGCTTTTACTTGTCTTAAGGCAGCTGCTTACAACATGGGTATATGAGACTACAGAGGTTCACAGGGACATTAACCATCATAATGTTATCAGTCCGCATCTACTGTCTCTGTTTATTTTTATGCTCTTGTAAATGTTCCAACTTATAGATTTATTGATTTATAGTATTTGCCAATTGTAGTGCATTGCACTTTAGCAATGGTGATGTTGCAGACACATATTAATGAACTACACCATTCAACCATGGTGTAGTTCATTAATAAACTAACGTTAGCTTTTTACATTTATATTTAGTCATTTAGCAGACCTTTTTATCCAAAGCGACTTACAAATGAGGACAATAACAGCAGTCAAAACTAACAAAAGAGCAACAATATAAGTGCAAATGACAAGTCTCAGTTAGCCTAACACAGTACACGTAGCAAGTATAGTATATAGTAGTATATATACACATACATACATATACATAACACACACACACAAAGAAAAACAAGTAGATAGAATAGAAAAAAATAGAATAGAAAAATATAAATATATATTTTTTAATAAAACAAAAGAAGATAAATATATATAAAGTAGAATTAAAATAAAATAGAAAGTGCTAGAGAGTTAGAGGGTCAAATAAAGGTGGAACAGATGTGTTTTTAGTCATTTCTTGAAGATGGTTAAGGACTCAGCTGCTGGGATTGAGTTGGGCAGGTCATTCCACCAGGAGGGAACAGTTAATGAAAAAGTCTGTGAAAGTGATTTTGTTGTTGAAACCACAAGCAGTTCTGTCTTAGCCAGGTTGAGTTGAAGGTGATGGTGATGATCCGTCATCCAGCAAGAAATGTCTGTTAGACAAGCTGTGATGTGAGTAGCTATTATCGGATCATCAGGATGGAATGAGAGGTAGAGTTGAGTGTCATCAGCATAGCAGTGATATGAAAAGCCATGTTTCTGAATGACAGAACCTAGTGATGCCATGTAGACAGAGAAGAGAAGTGGTCCAAGAACTGAGCCCTGAGGCACCCCAGCAGCTAGATGTTGCGACTTGGACACCTCACCTCTCCAAGATACCTTGAAGGACCTATCTGAGAGGTAAGACTCAAACCACTGGCGTGCGGTTCCTGAGATGCCATTTTCCAATAGGGTTGACAGGAGAATCTGGTGGTTCACCGTATCAAAAGCAGCAGACAGATCCAGCAAAATAAGTATAGAAGATTTGGAAGCCGCTTTAGCCAGTCTTAGGGCTTCAACAACTGAAAGCAAGGCAGTCTCGGTCGAATGGCCACTTCTGAAGCCAGATTGGTTGCTGTCCAGGAGGTTGTTCTGTGCGAGAAAGGCTGAGACTTGGTTGAACACAACTCATTCAAGTGTTTTTGCAATGAAAGGTAGAAGGGAAACCAGTCTGTAGTTCTCTAAGAAGTGGGGGGTTTCTTAAGAAGTGGGGTTATATGAGCCTGTTTAAATGTTGAGGGAAAAACACCAGTGTAAAGGGATGTGTTAATGATGTGAGTGAGTGCAGGTACAACGGCAGGAGAAATGGCTTGAAGGAGATGAGATGGAATATGATCTAGCGGACAAGTAGTTGGAAAAGATGAGTTTAGGCTTTAAAATTCATAAAACTTTTGTTCATTTGTGAAGATTATTGTCTTAAAATGTGTAAGAATCACAAACTTGTGTTTCTTTCAGAGCTCATTTTCTGCAATATTACAAAAGTCAATAAAAAAAAATCTTATTGGCTTTTTGTCAAGGGAACCAGTGTAATGCTAATTTTCTGCTGGCCTACAAAATACATCATCCCTGCACTGCTCTATAGAGGCAAACTAAACAGGCTTGGTATGTTCACCATCCCTATTCTTTCAAGTTTGGTCCATAAATTTATGTTTCTTTATTGTACTAACATTCTTTTTTTCTTTAACTTCTTAAAGAGATATAAATTGCTGTTTATATGAACCTTAAACATCCAAAAAATTCTATACACCATAATGGTGTGTTCACACCAGATGCAAATGTAATTATTCGCGCGAGTAGATTACATACAAAGTCAACGCAAAGACGCGAATAGAGGCGAATTCGCGCCGGGCGACACGAAATGCACAACGTGTTTGCCACGAACACACGATATTCGTCTCAATCGCGTCTTCCACGCAAGTTCAAAAATTTCAACTCGAGTGGAAAATTCGTATGACGCATTCTCGTGCAAGCCAATCAGCGAAGAGTTTCTTGACACGTCCAGTTGAATCAGACAATAGAGAGCATTATTGTAGCCGCTGTTATTATATAGGTCTGGAGCATAGAAAACAATTCAAATCAGTTGTAGTGGTAGTTGTATTTTATTAGCATGGCTACAGAGATGCTGCTACCAATAATAAAAATAATAGTAATATCAGTGTATAAATACAGTAGTAAAATGTAACACACATTAATACAGGATCCTAACGTTATTCATCCTCCTCTGGATGGTGCTGTGAACCCAGACACGTCGGCGTTTGGCTTTCCATCATATTTGGGACTTTTTGACAACAGTGATTGTAGTTATCTCCACCATGGTTGATTGCGCTGTTTTTATTCGTGCGAGTGAAACGAAAAACATCCCATGAGTAATCTAGAGCAAGTGACGCAATGAGCATATTCACTTTGCATCTGGTGTGAACACATCATAAAGAGTACAATACTATATGTAAATTACAACATAATACTTAATAATAATAATAATTATTATTATTATTACTTGAGTGCGTCTTACTAAGCAGAGTACTACAGTTATCAAGTATGCAGAATGACACTTGCTTGCAAAAAAAAAAATCCAGTCAGTTTCCTTGACTGACTTAATGACCTTGGGAAAATGTGGGTCCCAAGGCCAGACCAGATGAGAACCAGTTGTTGTTTCTGACCTTTAACTCATCCTCCAGAGTAAGACCTCTCTCCAGGAAGCCCTTCACCATCACATGTGTCACTGGAAAGTTCCCTGGAATTTCCTCACACTTTTTAATCATCACAGGATTGCAGCCATTTAAAAACTGGTAGCCAAACATCTTATCAGTTTTCCAGTCTTCCATTACAAAGTCTGTCCAGTCTAAAGGAATAAAAGGGATTGGGACATGGATTTAGCAGTTTGAAAACAGTGTACTGATTCATTTCTAACATTTCTGGTAGTAAAATTAGTTTTTGTATGTGTCAAATAAAATAAATAAATTAATAATTAAAAAAAAAAAAACACTTAAGGAAGGAAAGTCCAAACCTCTGTCAGTTTTCTGGAATAAAAAATATGTCTTTTTAAAATCTTCCAAATCTTCCCAGCACTGGAAATTGTTGCAGAGTTTGCCAAGAATACGATTCTCTATTCTGAAACGGTCAATAAGACAGTGTCTTTTTTCCTTTATTCTGGCTTATTTTATTAAGACATTTTGGCACTGATCATCACTTACTATATGAAAATAATTGAATATCCAGACATTTAGACAATATTACAGAGCAACATGTTTTCATAATACCACGCACATTTTTGGATACACGTGACAATGTAAAGAACTCAGCATAGTTTGTTCTGATGTAGCATTCCATAATAAATCAAAAGGATAGTGACAATGTCATCCATTCCAGTAACTTACGCATTGATGACTTTCGTTTTGATGCTCAGATTTTTATCTATTTCAAACTGAGCATCTTGTGGAAGTTCACTAAAACTGGCATCTATGCTCATGGGGAAGCCCGTGTGCCACTCTCTCCACCTTCATCAGGAAAACAGCAACATAACTTTTTAATTTACAATCACACTTGCATTACATTATGATATACAACCAGTAGTTTAAAGAGCAAGTCGAATGAGAGTATCAGTTTATTGAGCCGCCTGGGCTCTTAATGTACCAAAAAAAGAACACAAATTTACAGCAAATGATGTAATAACTGGAGAGAATTATTTAATATTGTCCAAAACTGCAACTGTCAAATCAAACCTGAAATCGTTTCGTCTTGAATCCAGTTCAACACATCTGTAGCCTTTACAGAAATCGATTTCATCCTGAGGCAATACAGCTAAATGAACACATGAACAAATAAATATGCGGATACACACATACACACAAAGAACTAAGTGAGGCAAAACCTACCTTTGCCTGTACGAAGAACCACTTCCTTGTTTTCTGGTATCCAGTGATAACAGGGGAACTCAAAGGATTTTCCAAATGGTGTTTTCACTGTGATACAGCTACAGTTCCACTGATCATTGCAAAAGTAGCTCTCCCTCTCAAGTTTCACCAGCAAAATATCTCCAAGTTCCTCCTTCACAGTGATGTCTAAGTTGTTCTCTTGCAAGAATTCCTAGGTTTTGAGAAGTGAGAAATATACATATAAGCACATAATCAATATGCCCTGATTTTATCTTGACCAGTTTTTTTTCTTAGAAGCAGGCATTTGCTTTAATTCAAAAACATGGATTCAATTATTGTTTTTTATGCTACAGCGCTATTTAGTACTTGATTCTGATTGGTTGACAAATGTTCTTAGGTGTGCAATTATTTTCCGAAGCAGGTTCTGTTCCAGAATTAGTTTACTTCAGAGCTATCAGCGCATGCATGGCATATTGACGAGATTCCAGTGGGCAACAAATTGTGCACAATAGAGGTATGTGATGACAATTTTTGATCGTGGACAAGTAAAATATCTCTACGATCTGCTTTTGAAGAAATATCATAGTATCGTGCTACAGCACACATTCTATCAGCTGCAGTTCTGGCACCTCCGTCTCAATATACTGTACAATGTGACATACATTCACAACAAATGATAACTCCGCGGTAGAGTTACACTCACGGGACACTGCACATATTTTCAATCACAAAATTACATTATTTGCAAGTGCTTTAAAGCCTTGCTTGTTAAAGGGTTAGTTCACCCAAAAATGAAAAATTCTGTCATTAATTCCTCACCCTCATGTCGTTCCAAACCCGTAAGACCTTTGTTTATCTTCAGAACACAAATCAAGATATTTTTAAGTAAATATTAAGATAACGACTTTATTCAACAATTCTTCTCCTCCTCATCCCGTCTGCCATGGCGTGCCATTTTGGAGAGCATCACGATGTATATGCTTGCTTTGATCTTAACGTAAACAACGTAGGTGGTGGTGCTGCTGACACAGAACGCATGCGTTTTTTTTGTTCAGATCAAAGCAAGTGTATGCATCATGATACTCTCCAAAATGGCGGCACGCCGCGTCAGACGGGATAAGGAGGAGAATAATTGTTGAATAAAGTCGTTTTTTCTTTGTGCACAAAAAGTATTCTCGTAGCTTCGTAACATTACGGTTGAACCCCTGATGTCACATGGACTATTTTAATGATGTCCTTACTACGTTTCGGGACGTTGATCGTGGTAGTACCCTTGCTGTCTATGGGAGGAACAGAGAGCTCTCGGATTTCATCAAAAATATCTTAATTTGTGTTCCGAATATGAACGAAGGTCTTACAGGTTTGGAACGACATGAGGGTGAGGAATTAATGACAGAATTTTTGGGTGAACTAACCCTTTAAACATTTCATTTACATGCTGTTCTGATATGCGCTTTCTCTGAGTGCGTACACCTGAAGCATGAGCACTAAAAAGCCTGTCAACAGCACCTGATTACTGGACTAAGTTATCTTTTGCGTTAATACTGTCAAAACACACAAGTAGGGGTGGGCGGTATGACCAAAATTCTATTTCACGGTATGACTAATTTTATTTCACGGTAACATATTTCACGATATAGTCATTGATTTATGTAGTTATTCTGAAAATCAACAAAAAGGACTTTATATAATAACTCGAATACTTTAGAAATGAAAAGTACTTCACTTTGTTTGATTTTTCTTTTATTTGGTAAATTATTTATTTAGTAAAAACACTCAATTTATAGATTAACTACCCCCAACTGATTGACATCAAATTAAAAAAGGTGTTTCTGAATTATTTTTAAATCTTATGTTATTATTTTACTTCAATCAGTTTATAATATCTAAATATTTTATATTGAAATATTCTATTCATAATAAATTACATATACTTCCTTTTAAATTTGTAGGATAATATTAATACTACTTATATTTTTAAAATGTATATTCTGGTATCTGCTTATTATACTGTGTTTTAAGGGGCTTGTTTTGCTTTTGTTTGTGATAAGCAACCCCTTCACCTGGAGCTTACGCCCCATTCACACGAGGCGTCAGTGTCAACACCTCTCGTTTACTTTGAATGGAGTGACGTCATGCGTTGGCGAAATGAATTGTGGGTCCGTCGCGTCGCGTTGGGTCCGTTGCACGAGGCAGAAGTTGAAAACTTTTCAACTTTTCAAGCGCCAACGCAGGCGTCAGCCAATCAGATCACCTTATGCACATTTTAGAGTGGCCTTTTATTGTGGCCAGCCTAAGGCACACCTGTGCAATAATCATGCTGTCTAATCAGCATCTTGATATGCCACACCTGTGAGGTGGATGGATTATCTCGGCAAAGGAGAAGTGCTCACTAACACAGATTTAGACAGATTTGTGAACAATATTTGAGAGAAATAGGCCTTTTGTGTACATAGAAAAAGTCTTAGATCTTTGAGTTCAGCTCATGAAAAATGGAGGCAAAAACAAAAGTGTTGCGTTTATAATTTTGTTCAGTGTAGTAAAAGTATCTTGATTTAAGAATTTTTTGATATTTTGACTAGAAACAAGACAGAAATACTAAGATAAGCAATTTTTTGCAGTGCAGAATCGGAATTGATAAAATTCAAACAGTACCCAACCCGAAATTATTCTGATTCTTAGTTTTGCATGATGATAACATGAATGGATGGTTCATTTTTAACAGCAGATTCAGTGGCGTTAGATCTGACCTTCACATCACTGCACATCTGTGGCACATTAATAATAATAGTAATAATGATAATTACAATAAACTTTATTTTCTATAGCACCTTTAAAAGTAGAATCTCAAAGCGCTTCACAAGAATAGGATCAAAAAGAAAAACACTACATTAATCAAACTGAAATACAGACAGAGATAAAATACCAAATAAAAACAAACTGAAAATTTCAACAAGTAGAAAAAATAAGAAAATTATAAAATAATCAGGTAAAAGCTACCCTAAAAAAAAAAAAAAAAAAAAGTTTTAAGGGAAGATTTAAAAGCACTAAGGGATTCTCGGCAGGCAAAGAATTCCAAAGTTTTGGTGCAATTGAGGAAAAAGCCCTATCACCCATAGATTTTAGACGAGTCAATGGAACAATTAAAAGGCCAGCTTCCGAAGAGCGGAGAGCACACACTGGGGTGTAGGTGGTTGAAAGCTCAGAGAAATAATAAGGAGACAAACCGTGCAAAGCTTTATATGTTAGCATGAGAATTTTAAACTCAACACTGAATCTGACAGGGAGCCAGAGTAATGACTCCAAAACAGGAGTGATGTGAGCCCTTGTCCTGTTTCCAGACAGGATTCGAGTGGCTGAATTTTGAACCAGCTGTAATTTATTTAGGGTAGCTTTTGTAACACCGGCCAGCAAAGAATTGCAGTAATCAATGCAAGAAAATACAAACATGTTAATTAAAGGGGACATCAGATGCAAGTTGGTATGATTGTTGGTATAAGTCTATAACATACTTTGGTTCACATATCTCAATGGTAGTGTAAAACAACACTTTTTACCTTGTCAAAAACAGCTCTGTTCACAGCGACCCATTTCGGTGCATATCTGAAGCATAAAGCATAAAGTAATCTATATAGACTTTTTCAGTACATCGAAGAAATGTACATGAAATGGTTCTGTAACATCTCCTAAGCTCCACAACATCCCAGCATAAACGCTCCCGATAAAATATTTGTTATTTAGCCTAAGCATCAACATTAACAAACCACTGTTATTTTTAACAGAAAAGCAAGCATGGGCTGCTGCGTGCATGGTTTGGCATGGCAGAATGTGAGCAGCGCTTCCTTTATTATCACTAAAAGCTGACATCTCAGTTAATCTCTATCTCATAAAGCTCTGTTATAACACAATAAATGTATGCACAATGAATCTTTCACAATGTCTACACAGCTGAGTCTGTGATTGGCTACATTACGCTACCCTTTAAACACGTGTTATAAATAGAAACTATGCCTAGCTTGCGCATATCAATCATTTTAATGTTAATATTAGTTGTTCTTTTTGCTTTTATACAACAGATAAATAACAATTTATAATGTTTTAGACACTTTATATTTAGATAATTTCTATTTTGTGGGAGTCCTGCGAATCATTTTATTCTCCCGCATCCCTTGTTGCGTTGGGTCCCGCGGTACTCCCACGGGAGTGCAGGTCTCTACTCTCAGTGATAATGTTTGCTTGAAGTTTATATGTCTAGTAATACATGCATTTGTTCAACCCCACAGCACAATGAACAGCATATTAAAAGGTAAATAAGTAAATTGAGTCCAAAAGGCAAGTGTTGATAATCAGTCCATGAGTCCTATAAAGGCACGGATATCCAAATACCATCAATTAGAGTCCACAACAAAGAAACAGTCCGAAAAGAAAACAATAATCCCCGCAAAAAAAGGTGTAAAAGAGGAGAAAAAACTCGATCAGTCTCACCCACGTTCTCTTCTCAGGGATTTCTAGATCCCAGGAAAAAGGGAAAAGTAATCCACAAACAATCCCCGACAGAGAAAACATACTTGGTCACTGAAACTTCGGCTTCAACGCCCCAATTCAGGTAAACCTCCGGTCAATGGCCAGATAGATCTTAAATCCATGGCATTGGCCCTAGTGAGAGCAAGGCATTTCCCAGCACCTTTGTTTGCCAGCCTCTCAGAAACATGCCGCCCATCACTCCATGTGCCAACACCTTAAAACCAAAATGGCCACCAGTTCCCACTTCCTTAAATAGGGGCCTTTTACAATAAGAGTCCCTCGTATTCCAAATTAATATCCCCTCCCCCCACCCACAAAACAGTATACAGATTTAAATAACCATAACAAAAACATAAACAATTATCATCACATTATTAGAAATGTTTGATATGATTTGAATATCTGAAATTAACACAATTTCTCTGTTTTGTGGCAGTGTCACAGAGTGCCTGCACTAATAGAAAATAAAGTATTTGAATTTTAAAGATGTGGTGCGACGCTGCGCTTCTCGTCCGGTGTGCGACCGCCTGAAACGCTGTTTTTTTCACCTCCGTGTCCAAATGTCTTTGTTTGGGCTTCCGAAAGCGGATGATGTCAGGAAACAGTGGTTGCAATTTATTTTTTAACTCTGTTCCTGAGCATTATAACCCCAATTTGCTATTGTGTGCTGCGCATCAACCACCGGGAATGACAACATAGGACATAATCTGGTGATATTTCTGAGATGAAAAAATTATGTCCTGACAATGTTCTGGACTTGAGGAATGAATGTTGAATGAGCATCAAATATCACCCCACAAATTTTTCGATTTTGTTGGAAATTCCAGTGTTGAACCATCTACACTTAAAGTTAAAAAGACTCAGCATTTCGTAATTGGTGGAGTGAGCCAATGAGCATTACTTCTGTCTTTTCACTGTTTAAACAAAGGCAATTTCTAGACATCCATTTTTTAAAGGGGTGCTATTATGCTTTTTCACTTTTTCAACTGTAGTTAGTCTGTAATGTTGCTGTTTGAGCATAAAAAAGATCTGCAAAGTTACAAAGCTCAAAGTCCAATTCAAAAGGAGATATTTTATTTAACAGAAATCACTTTTCAAAAACTACAACGAACGACTCGTTTGGACTACAACGCATATTTTCCGGGATTTGTGATATCACAAATATCAACGAATGGGACGAGACCTGGTTGAGCTGCACTAGAGAAGGCAACGAGTGTTATCACTGTGTCGGAGACACGCTAGCTTTCCCAAGACAGACGAACTTAGAGTGTTTACAATCATCCGGGTTTAAATCGCACTCAAATCGATTTGATATTGACACAATATTTACACTGAAGCTGCAGGTGGCTATGGTAAGGGGCATGACATTTCCCGACCAGGCGCCAAGTGCTGCCAAT